AAGACTATATTCAAGTTACCCATCTTGGGCAGAAAGCCCAAGACGTGATGCTGTGCTTTCCTCACTGCATCCCGGTAGGGGGCGCACGATGCCGATTTGCTCCATTGGTGACGTTTCTGTGCTCCTAACGTAGTAATAAAAGGCTCCAGACTACCCCATCCCTGACCCAACAGGGGATGCCTATCACCCTACCTTACCGATGACGCTTTGCACCAGGGCACCCCTAGTGTGAACACCCTTCTTACCCTGCTGGGCTTCTAACACCCCACTCTGGGCACCCCCTTCTGGGTGTTCCATCTAATGGCTTTAAGACTGAATTGTTCAGGAGGAGGAAGGAGGGAAATAAGGAGAGGAAGAGCCTCCGTTCGATTTTTGAAACTAACAATAGTGATTGATAGTATAATGAACACACTGTGCCAGGCACAGTCTAAGCACATACATGCTTTAGGCATATTAACATATTTAATTTTCATAACCATCTGTATTGTAGGTACCGCTATTAGTCCCATTTCACAAACAAAACTGAAACACGGAGGTTAAGTCATTTGTCCGGGGAGTACACAGCAGCTGGCAGAAGCAGAGTCTGAACCTAGTCTCAAGCTCCAAAAAGTGCTTTTTGGGTGGGCAAGGTGGCTCACACCTGTAATCCCAACACTTTGCCAGGCTGAGGCAGGTGGATCACCTGAGGTCAGGAGTTTGAGACCAGCCTGGCCAACATGGTGAAACCACGTCTCTACTAGAAATGCAAAAACTTAGCCAGCAAGGTGGCAGGCACCTGTAGTCCCCGCTACGTGGGAGGCTGTGGCAGGAGAATTGCTTGAACCCAGGAGGCAGAGGTTGCAGTGAGCTGAGATTGTGCCATTGCATTCCAGCCTGGGCCACATGAGTGAAACTCCATCTCAAAAAACAAAAAGAAAACAAAAAATAGAAAGTGCCTTTAACCAACCCAGTCCAGTCCACTTCCGCAGGCAATGCTCTTCTCTTAGCCATTAATGACCTCCATGTTACCAGATCCAATGGGCAGGTATCAGCCCTCATCTGTCAGAGGCCGGCCACTCCCCTGTTGAAACAGCCTTTCTCTTGGCTTGTGTCCAGCACATTCTTGATTTTCTTCCTACTACTCGACCTGCACTTTCTCTGTCTCCTCTGCCAGCTCCTACGTCTCTCTCCTCTTCTTGGGATTTGAATTGCACACGGCTTGTGCCTGAGCTCACGTCTCTTCTCATTCTATTTCCACATGTATCCCCATGTGTTTATTTTGTTTTAAATTTTGTCTTAAAGCTGAGATCTCATTATGTTGCTCAGGCTGGAGTGCAATGGCACAGTCATAGCTCACTGTAGCCTTGAACAACTGGGCTCAAGGGATCCTCCCACCTCAGTCTCCTGAGTAGCTGGGACTACAGGTACATGGTCACCATGTCCAGCTAATTTTTAAAAATCAGTTTAAATTTTTTTGTTGTTGAGACAGGGGTTTTGCAAGGTGTCCAGGCTGATCTTGAACTCCTGGCCTCAAGCTATCCTCCCATTTTAGCTTCCCAGAGTGCTGAGATTAGAGGCATGAGCCACCACACCCAGCCTCTCACATCTTTAAACATCCTTTGTAGGCTGATGACATTGATGTCTTTCTAGTCCAGGCCTCTCTTGGGGCTTTGAAACTCACACTTAACTGCTTACTTGGCATCTCTGCCTGGCTTTTTCTCAGCCATCCTGAACTGGGCTAATCTTGATCCCAAACTGGGCTATTTATCTTCCTTTTTTCAGCTTGTGCCTCCCTTGGTTTTCCCCAAATGAGTAAACATGTCACCACTGCCCACCCCACCACTTAAGGCAAAAGCCCACCCCTCTCCCATGCAATCCACTGCTAAGTTTTCTTTCCTTCTTCCAAGATATATGTTGTGAACTGTCCACCTCTCTCCATTCTTACCACCTACTTCCTGGCCACGATCATCTCTTCCCTGGACTCTTGCAGTAGCCCGCACTGGGCCTCCTGCTTCATTCCTGCACCCTCCCAGTCCTCCTCCACACAGCACTCAATGGCCTTGCAAAACATATAACCTGATCATGTCAGCATACGGCCTAGACTCCTTCACAGCTGCCCACTGAGCTAAGACTGCAACAGCCCCTCGTCCACACCACGGCTCACAGGCCCTGCCTGATGGGGCCCAGGCCTGCCTGGCCACCTCTTCTCCTGCCACCGTCCCTCCTGCCTGCCACGCTGCAACCACACTGTTCTCCATGGCTTCCGTGTGAGCCCTCTTGGCTCAGGGCTTCGGTAGATGCAGTCTCCTGGCCTGCACTACCCTCCCTCTCACTTGTTACTTGACAACGCATGCTCATCCTTCAGATCGCAACTGAAATGTCAGTTGCTCAGGGAAAGCTGGTCCACTTTGTTCCCTGACCTAAATCTGGTTCCCTCATTTCTCCCTCACAGGACTTGCTTATCACATTTGGTAAGAGTATGTTTACTTGAAGGCTACTCGGTTTAACAAAGTGTCAGTGTGCTACTGGGTTGAGGACCCAACCCTTCTCTCTCTATATTTTCATTCACCAGGTTCGTGGTTTTCACCTGGGGTGAGGGGGTTGTAGCAGGGAGGGGACGGGAAGTAAATTTCTTTCCCAGGGCACATTTGGCAATGTTTGAGGACGTTTTTGATTGTCACGACTTGGAGTGGGGGGGTGCTACTGGCATGCAGTGGGTAGATGCTACTAATATCCTATAAGGTACAGGACAGGCCCCCACAACAAAGAATTATCCTGCCCCAAAATGTCAGTGGTGTGGCGGTGAGAAACTGTGCCTGCCCTCTCGTGGACACTCATGGTCCTAAAGAACATGGCTGTGCAGATTACTCCCTCCTTCCTCTCTCCAGCCCAGGCCTCTCCCTGGAACTCCAGACTCACATACGAAACCGCCTACCTGACATCTCACCCGGAAGTTTAACAGCACAAACAAACTCGACACATCTAAAGCCCAACTCCTGCTTTCCCCCCACCTCCACCCTTCCCATCGCAGAGGTGAAAAATCTACAAGGCATTCTTGAGTCTTCTTTCTCTCACACCCTACATCCAATCCATCAGCAAATCCTCAGCAGTTTCCTCAAGGCAGATTCAGCATGGACCACATCCCACTAATCCCCTGCTAACACCTTAGTCTCCTCCACCTTTGCACACAGAGAACTGGCTTCCCTGGCTGTGCGTGGTAATCCCACGCCTGTAATCCCAGCACTTTGGGAGGCCGAGGCGGGTGAATCACTTGAGTTCAGGAGTTGGGAGACCAGCCTGGCCAATGTGGTGAAACCCCGTCTCTACTAAAAATACAAAAATTAGCCAAGTGTGATGGTGCCCGCCTGTAATCCCAGCTACTCCGTAGGCTGAGGCAGGAGAATCGCTTGAACCCAGGAAGTGGAGGTGGCAGTGAGCTGAAATTGTGCCACTGCACCCAGCCTGGATGAGAGAGTGAGACTCTGTCTCGGGAAAAAAAAAAAAAAACAACAACTGGCTTCCCTGCCGCTGCCTTCATACCTCCACGGTCTATTCTCTACCCAGTACCCAGAGTGATCTTTTAAACACAGAAATACAACATATCACACCCCTGCACAAAACCCTCCAATCATTTCTTATCTTATATAGATAAAACCAAGGTCATCTCAGTGACCTCCCTGACCCCAACTCCTAGGATTCTCCCCCTCCTTACTTTGCTCCAGGCACACCCACCTCCTTGGTGCTCCTCAAACACACCAAGTATGCTCATTCTCAGGGCCTTTGCACCGTCCGTCCCTGCTTCCTGAACCGTCTCCCCTCCAGAGAGCCGCCCGGGTTGGCCTCCTCACTTCCTATAGGTCTCTGTGTAGTGCTCTGCCCTCTATATAAAACAGCAACCCCGCCTGCTTTGAACTCCATAGTCCCCTCTTATTTTATTGTCGTCTGGAGGACTTACTATCTTCTAATATATACTATGTATTTCTTTCTTCTTCTTCTTTTTTTTTTTTTTTTTTTTGAGACACAGTCTTGCTCTGTCCCCAGGCTGAAGTGCAGTGGCATGATCTCAGCCCACTGCAACCTCAGCTTCCCAGGTTCAAGAGATTCTCCTGCCTCAGCCTCTCAAGTAGCTGGGACTACAGGCGCGCACTACCATGCCTGGCTAATTTTTGTATTTTTAGTAGACACAGGGTTTCACCATGTTGGCCAGGATGGTCTCGATCTTTTGACCTTGTGATCCACCCGCTTTGGCCTCCCAAAGTGCTGAGATTACAGGCGTGAGCCGTCACACCCAGCCCTCCATACTTTTTTCTGTTAATGACCTGTCCTCCCCTCTAGAATGTAAGCAGGGAGTCTGTTTCATTTAATGTTGGACATTCTATATCCAGGACAGTGCTTGGCACACAACAGAGACAAATCTGTTGAGTGAACAAAAAAATGTTGTCACCACTTCTCAGATGAAAAACCAAGGCCCAGAGCCTTTAAGTAACTCATCCAAATGAAGCCACAGTTCCTCCCATTGCCCAGACCTGTTACAAGACTTCCTCCCTACCTCTTTCCCAAAAGAAGGGGAAGGATATTTAGGACGGAGGGTATGGTGGTTTGGGCAGGGAAGTGGAGTTTAGTTTCTGAAAAGAAGCCTTCAGGACCACAGGAGACCTTGATGGTTGTGGGGAAAGATGTGTGAATGGGCAGAGGCCTCCTGAGTCCACCTTTGTGGCAACCCAGTTCTAAGAACCCGGGATGGGAAAGGGGTCAGTGTCACTGGGGAACCTGCCAGGTCCCCTGAGCACCAGCCTCTGGCTACCTGTGAGCCCTGAGCAATCCCCACTGACTGGAGAGCAGGGGAGCCACACCCCAGCCTGCCTGCTGCCCCAGGGTGCCAGCACAGCAGCTCCCAGCCCCTGGCTCCAGAGTTCACGCTGATAGGTTTCCCAGAGACAGGGAGCCTGGCTGGGAGAGAGAGCGAGCCAGCAGGGAGCCTAGCCCGGATAGCCCATTGCAACCCCACACCCTCCACTCACTCTGCCATTCGGTGATGGAGATCATGCCGCACTCAGCCTGGGGGGGCCTTTCTGGTGGAAGCAGGCAAGTGGAGCGTGACCCAGAGGACTCAGCTGGTACAAGGTCACAGGAAGCTGACCCTTGGTAAGTTGCGAAATGAACCTGTGGCAAATCATTAACTCCCTCTCCAGCCCATGCCCCACGCCCCGCACACCACACAGGTGCCCGTGTGTTCTGCGTCTCTCATCTGCCCTTCAAAACTTAGACTGTATACGGAAGCACAGGGATAGAGAGGATGCTCAGGTTTCTTGCTTGGTTTGGTGGTGTGGGAAGAGTTGGCATCCACTCATCTCTTTGGGAATGTACTAAATTCATTTTGAAAGTCAAGCTTTTTGCTTTCTGCTATTACACTTGCTAGGCGCTGGGAGGCGATGAGCGACTGTACAAAGCCTGTTGATGACCTAATGGCATGGCCAGATCCAGTTAAATCAATGGCAGAAGCGCCATCGGGGAAGTTAGACATGAAGGGCTTCAACCTCCTCGACCTCCTTTCCCCAAGCGGTGTATAGCTTTGAACTGACTGTGAGGTTGAGCTATGGAAGACAGAGCCCTGAATTTGGGTTTGGGGTAGGACTGTTCGATTCAGGGGGCCTGGTTCTAGTCTACCCACCAACTCTGTAGACAGGGATTCGTCCTTTCCTCCTCTGGGCCTGCAAAAGAAGGGGTAGTTAGTTCCTAACATCCTTTTTCCTGTCTCAGAGCAGAGGCTCTCAACGCCAAGAGAGCCAGCATCCACTCTGCAATGTCTCTTCTATCCAGACATGAAGAAATGAATTTCATAGATGATATGACTAATCTACATACATCATTTTAAAAATGCAAATAGACCAGGCATTCAAAATGCATATGTCTGTAATCCCAGCATTTTGGGAGGCCAAGGCGGGCAGATTGCTGGAGCCCAGGAGTTTGGGCTCAGTGGTTTGAGCAGGGGAGTGGCCCTCAGGGCCATAGGAGACCTTGATGGTTGTGGGAAAGATGTCTGAATGGGCAGAGGCCTCCTGAGTCCACCTTTGTGGCAACCCAGTTCTAAGAACCCGGGATGGGAAAGGGATGCCCTGGGCACCAGCCTCTGGCTACCTGTGGGCCTTGAGCAACCCCCACCTGCTGGAGAGCAGGGGAGCCACACCCCGCCCTACCTGCTGCCCCAGGATGCCAGCACAGCAGCTCCCAGCCCCTGGCTTCAGAGGTCATGCTTGTAGCTTTCCCAGAGACAGTGAGCCTGGCTGGGAGATAGAGACCTTTCGTAGAGACCTTGTCTCTACAAAACTAAAATAAAATAATTAGCCAGATGTGGTGGTTTCTGCCTGTAGTCCCAGCTACTGGGGAGGCTGAGATAGGAGGATTGCTTGAGCTCAGGAGGTAGAGGCTGTGATGAGCCGTGGTCAAGCCATGCACTCCAGCCTGGGCAACGGAGCGAGACCCTGTCTCAAAAATAACCAAACAACAACAACAAAACGTAAGAAAAGCTAACATAATTTTTTAAATGTTATTTTTTTAATTATATGGGTGCAGCGGCTCATGCCTGTAATCCCAGCACTGGGAGGCCGCGGCTGGCGGATCACCTGAGGTCAGGAGTTCAAGACTAGCCTGACCAGCATGGAGAAACCCCATCTCTATGAAAAATACTGTTTGTATACTGTCAAAATAGCTCCCGTGGAATGGGGTCGCCATGGTGTACCATGGACACATAGACCTCTGTCTTGAAATGCGTCAGTGTTAAGGCAAAATTCAGTCTCTGGGATCTTAAAAGGCCTTAGAGACCATATATTTCCCGTGGGCAATGGGGGATAGGATGGATTTGGGAAGTGAAAAGAAGATAAAAGCGGTGTAGAGGAATTGCACGTGGACCCCTGGGACAGTGTTGTAAAGACAAAGCACGACATTTCCACACGTAATTGTGACAACATTGGTGTTCATCTTTGGGCTGCAAAACACTTGAAACATATAAAGGATGGCAATAATATGGAATAAACTCTAAAACCTTTATTAGGGAGACCCAGTGAGATCTCTTGCATCTCAAGTATCTCTGCTTTCATGACTGGTTCTCTCACGTCTCCTCTGTTAAATATTTCAGTCAATTTCTTTGTATTCAGTATCACCTAGTGATAGAAACTCTTTTCAATCAGATATGTAGCAGTGGAAATCTGATAATCTTCTATGTAGACAATGCATGGAGTCGATTATTCAATAATTTTGAGACAATGCCTTTATCCTTTTAAGCTTCTGCTCTGTAACTATCTCTTAACTTTCTGAATTTTTGTGAAATTTATTTTTAAAAGCTTATAATAACTTTTTGGTATTACTGTCAATTTAAATATGACCAACCTTTACTGGTAGTGGGTTTAGTTCAGTTGCACATTCGAAAGTTGTGCAGGACATGGGACAATTCTTTGTTTCGGAAATCTGTCCTGGGCATTGTAGTCACTAAATGCCAATAAGAATTTTGCACCCTTGAGACAACTGAATGCCCCTAGGGGCCAGTATCATCCCCATGGAAACCACTGATAGGTTAAAAGGTTCATCCTAGCTTCATGAAGGCGTTTGATGTATCCTTTTTGTGCCTCAGCTTGTTGGATAATTGTAGTACCTATGACTGACATAGAGGATGAGAATTAGTGAGTAAATACATGTGAGGGGCATAAAACCAGGTACCTGGCACATAGTAAGCTCTTAATGAACCACTGCTATTGCTATTACTGTATAGTTATAATAGTTACTATTGTTATTCACATTATTATTAATATTATGTTAATATGCTTTTATATGCAAGACTTCTACTGTCATCTCAAGTTATGGTCCTAAACCGCTCCCACAGGTGTGTAAAACAGCAGCTGGGGATGCCTCTCCCTGCCCCCACCTCCAGCCATGGAACCCACCTGTGAACTCAGGAAAATTAAATGCTCATGAAACTGGACCCTCCTGGCATGATTCTCTGGGTACTGGAACTGAGCCCAGAAGGGGGTGCTCACAACTCACCCTTCTGGAGAGGGACCTCCATAGGGACAAACCCAGGAAGGGGATATGCAGGCCCGGGAAGGCTAGGGCTAGTCCTTGACCCCAGGCCAGTCTCATGACCCTGCCATATGAGAAAGGGGTGGGGTAGTATGTTACTCCCTGGGCTGGAGGCGCAGAACTGGCAGAGAAGGGACACTCCAGGGACAGCACGGGCCCTGGTGATGTCTTCCAGCAAAGGCTATAGAGCTAGCAAAGGAGGGTTCCTGGCAAACCTCCTCCCTCTTTCCACATCATGCCCCTCCGGGTGGCCAGGGAGCCTTTGCAACCTCACCACTTCCATTCCCTCACATTTGGAAGTGAATTGGAGTTTTCAAAGTGATTTTCATCCATTTTCTCATTTCCCTTTCTTGAAAGTTCCATAAGATGGTTTAATTTACCCATTTTCCAGGTAAGGACACTGAGACTCAAGAATTTAGTGACTTGTCCAAATCTTCATGTGGCTAGCAAGGAGCACCTTGCTAGGGCCAGGAGTTGAGGGTGACATGCCACCTTCTCTTATTAGTCTCTGCAACGAGGTGAGGCTTGGGATGAGAGGAGGGCCGTGGCATGACCCTAGTTCCTTGGCAGCAGCAGGGTCTGAGGCTTGGCTGCCTGCCTGAGCCTGCGTGCCTCTCTTCAAAAGTAAATAAATGATCATGCAATTACACTGCTCCTTTTATTTATTTATTTATTTTGAGACAGAGTTTTACTGTTGCCCAGGCTGCATGCAGTGGCATAATCTTGGCTCGCTGCAACCTTTGCCTCCAGGTTCAAGCAGTTCTCTGTCTCAACCTCCCGAGTAGCTGGGATTACAGGTGCCCACCACCACACCCAGCTAATTTTTTGCATTTTTGGTAGAGACAGGGTTTCACCATCTTGACCCGACTGGTCTTGAACTGCTGACCTCGTGATTCACTTGCCTTGGCCTCCAGAAAGCACCACTCCTTAAAGGGCATTCTGCTAGTTGCATTTTCATGTACATTTCCTCAGCTACTGCCCTCTTTTTGCAAATCCCAACCTGGCTTGATCTGGGCAGAGAATGTCGCAGGCACCAGCCGTCATCAACCCTTGAGAGGAGGAGCCAGCCTGTGTTGGTGGATGCAGTGACGCCCATTGGTGCTCTGTGGTCTCACATTCTACCTCCTCCCCAATCCCTTGCCACTGGCTCTGGCCCAGACGGAGGCTGCAGATAGAGGCTCAGCCCCTCTGGAAAGTGATGAGTTCTCCAATATTCAGCCCCCTACCCCAGCCTCTGATGCAGGCCCTCCCCCAGAGCCTATATCTGGTCACAGCTCTCCCTGGTTCACAAAGTACATCATCCTGGGGATGTGACAAAATCCAAAATAGAGTCAAATTTTTAAAATGACCACCCCCGTACTAGCCGTTAGAAATGGGAACAGGTGCCGGGCACAGTGGCTCACGCCTGTAATCCCAGCACTTTGGGAGGCTGAGGCAGGTGGATCACGAGGCCAGGAGATGGTAGACCATCCTGGCCAACATGGCGAAACCCCATCTCTACTTAAAATACATAAATTAGCTGGGCATTGTGGTGTGCGCCTGTAATCCCAGCTACTTGAGAGGCTGAGGCAGGAGAATCGATTGAACCAGGGAGTCGGAGGTTGCAGTGAGCCGAGACTATGCCACTGCACTCCAGCCTGGTGACAGAGTGAGACTCGGGAACAGGTGTCTCTGTTCAGCTTCAGTCATGAAAGCTGGCATAAGATCAGGAATGAGAGGAAGCTTGCTTTCTCATCTCCCCTTCCCACGTTTTCTTAAGCCAGCCCTCCCTCAGACAACCTGCAGAAGCCGAGCTGAGCCCGCCAGCCTCCCAGGGGCACTTCTTCTCTTCCACTACCCACCCCACACAATTTGCCAGGTTTCTTGACTCTTGTTCCCCACAGTAAGATTCCAAACTGAGAAGCGCTGGTAAAGCCCTTCCTACTGAGTGTCAGTACCTGATAACCACTAAACACCTGCCAGGAGAGATAAACCAAAGGGATTGAGGCTGCATGAGAATTGGGGTGGTGTCATACTTCCCACCAAATTATACACCTTCTTGTAAGGTGGCAATATGGCACATTGTGTAGTTATCAAGAAAGACTGGGAATTCATTTTCTTCTGCTGCTGTCTTACACTTTGTCTCAGAGTCAAACCAGGGGAAGGTGCCAGGGCCTGAAGCATCTGATACTCTCATTATACAGAACCTTGGGACAAGCCCTAATCTGGGGTCACCTGGATGGAAACGATGATGCTGGTGTTGGCAGCTTGCCGTCGCTCCTCCAGCTCCTGGGGATGGCGGCCGTGAAGAGCAGGCTAAGGCATGGGCGAAGAAGAGAGCTTATGATTTGCACCCAGCCTATTCCCCAGCCCCCATTCCCCTTTCCTGCCAACCCCATAAGCTGCCACACACTCTGAGGGTGGACACAGAGTAGGAGACACACACCACATGTACAAACCATTCGTTTTATTTCCTGTATTGAGTTTATACAAACTTGCAAGATACAAATGCAGAACTCACTGGGATTCCTTAGTACCTAAAACTAAAAAGAATGCTGCTGAAAGGAGGAAGCAAACTCTCACCTGTGTCAGTCAGGACACCCTCTCCTCCCGGGGAGGTGGGTCATTGGCTAGAAAGATGCTAAGGGGATGCTACAGCCGTTTGCCCCCGACAGAGATTCCATCTATCTAACCTTCACCCTTCTTCTAAGGTCACTTTTATCCTAATTAAAGACACTGAGATCATAAATGTCCTTGTATGGTTTATTGTCTAATACTAGCAAATAAAACTGGCCCCAATATGTGCATAAATAGATATATGTGTGTGTATATATATATATATATATGTGTGTGTGTGTGTGTATATATACTATTTTTCCTTCGTTTTAAGAGCTGCCAGGTGGAGGGTGCCTAAAGGGGAAAGGAATTGGTTCCCTCTTGCTATAGCCAGCCCTGCCCAAGAACATGCCTCTCCAAAAGGCAGGAGAGCAAGTATGTCGCTTGTGACCTCAGAAAATCTTCAAAGTGACAGTAGCAGTATTTGATTACAGCCTCTTGGTTACTGATCATGGAGGTAAGGTGCTAATTGAGAAGGCCCTGGATGAATAATCAGAGCTTCCCCAGGTGGGTCACTTAGCCCTGGGCCCCATCTGGGCTCTGTTCATTCAGAGCAGGATGTTCCAGGCTGGCGACAGGGTGTCAGTAAATGCCTCAGGTGGGAGGCCAGGCTTCAAACGCTGGCCAGGAGCTCTGCTCCAGATTCCCAATCCCTTGATTTCAGATCTAGGCAAAGACTTCTATCCTGCCCAAATCCTTGCAAGAGCAGAGACCCTTTGCCCGCTTTGACGGTTGACAAAGGCTGAGCAGGCTTAGTTCGGTGCCCCAGTGGCAGTCTGCTGGGATAAAGTCCTGGGGGTTTCTTGGGTGAGGCTGTCACCGTGTCTGTAGGACCCTCCTCAGCCCAGAAGCTGATTTTGCAGTCTGGATGCCAGACTGAAGTATCATCCCTTTGGCACACCCCCAGAAAGAAAGGGTGCAGAGGGGAGATGTCAGAGATGTGACCAGACAGAGAGGGATCAAGTGAAGAGGGGTGTGATAGGCCCAAGGAACTCGTACGTGTCTGTGCTGAAGGACCAGGGATGGCCCAGAGGATCCCAAGCCACCTCCTCTGGGCTTCGCACCACCTCGTAGACTGACATCCTTAGCATTTGGCATAGGCTGCCATTCTACTGTCTGCCCTTTCCAGCAGGCTGATGAAGAGGGGTAGTCTAGCAGCTCATCTGGGGTGCATGGCTGCATGGGTCTCTTTGTGCAAACAGTTTCTTCCAAAGGATTCACGCCTGACAACCGCAGAGGGTCATGAGGAGCAGACAGTGTAATCAAATCCTTAGACCAGAACTTCAAGGGAATGCCCTGCCTTGGCAAGATGCTCTCTAGGTGAGCTCTGGGGACCAGCCCTTTCCTGACTGGGGAACAGGGTGGGAGGAAGCCACTGTGGCAGAGGGAAGGGCACAGCGTTGGGACCTTAAGACAGTTACCCCATCTCCTCATCTTGTGTGCCCATTCCATTCAGACATTGCACATTTTGAAAATAGATTTGCTTTTTTTAAACAAAAGCGTAAAATAGATCTGTCTTAAAATAAGTCTTTCCTCTCCCCTTCTTTGGATCAAAAAGGCAAGGGGTATGGCCTTGATATGCGAGGAACCACGTGGAAAATACGGGAGAGAAAAACGGGCCTGGGCGGGAACTGGAGGAAAAGATCAGACATCCAAACAAATAGATTACATATATAGATCTATAATATGTATAATCTCCATAAAACATATATTAAGGCATGTAAAGCAACATAAAGAGCCAGCTTTATGAATAAGAGGTGAGAGAGAGGTGGCAGAGGTGTAGACATTATTTCTTGGTATTTCACATGTATTTCTAAAAAATATTACTTAAAAAAAAAAAAAAGAGACGGACGAAGCGGCAGGCATGGAAGGCCCTGAAAAACCTGTTTCCTGTGGAGGGAGAAAGGCGTGGGAGAAAGACGGAGAGGAGATGACCTGGGAGCCAATCCCACCTGCCAGTCTGCAGGGTAGAAAGGGCAGGTTTGGGTGCTTGAACTGTGAGGATGGGAAATAGAGCCAAGGGTCACGTTTACAAAACCTGCTAGAAGTGAAGACCGCTGGAAGCCTCCCGGGCTGTAATCCCTCAAGAACATGAGAATATCCTAAGCACCTAGAACAGTGCCTGGTACGTAAAAGGTGCTCGATAAATATTTGAGTAAATTGTCATCTTTACTTGCATATGAACCAGTAACTGTCCCAGCCATGAAGGAGTGGAGAGGAATTAGTAGGTGTTCTTGGGACCGCTGGAGGTCGGGCTGAAGCCTCTGGGTGGCGAGTCTATCAGAGAGAAGGCCGAGGGGCCATGGTGTCTTCAGCTCCGCTAGTTCCTCCTCTCTGGCTACATTAATCTCCAGGTGGGTGGGGCCGAGGAAGAATTCACTTTGCTTTATTGTCTCTCCCCCACCGGCTGGTGGATTGTGAGAGCATCTAGGCTCAGCCCGTCCTCGTGTGGGATGCCTGGGATGGGGGAGGGTCCTGGAATCCGGCCTCCCAGATTGCGGCCTCACCTCCCCTCCTCAAGGCATACTCTCAGCTGGCCCACTGCACATTCCAGGGGAACAGGGCAAGAAATATCACGGAACTGGACAGGGAAGTCCCCAAAGCTGAGCACACCCTGCATAAGACAAGTCCTTCTCTTTGCCCCTTACCCCAGCCATCTCCCAGGCAGTCGCTATTCAAACCCCTTCACCCTGATCCCCACACCAAGCATCTCCACTGAGGCTGCCACGTGCTCCACTGGTGGGTCCTCCTGGGAACGAGGTGGGAGGAGCAGAGGTGACGGTCTGGCCCTGCACGGGGCTCTAGCCTAAGGCTCCACCTGGGGAAACCAATCGGATACCCGCTTTCCAATCTCCCTCCTTCCCACTTTACTTGCCAACGTGTCCTGCTGCTTCCCCCTCCTCCCACTCTGAGGATCTCCCTCTCTCTTTCTCTCTCCTTCTGCCTTTCTCTCTCTGCTACCCTTCCCAACCTGCCCTCAGACGCTGCACAGACCTGCTCTTCTCTAGCCACAGCCAGCACTGTTTCCTCTGGGAGCCAGTAGCCTCTCCCCATCTCTCATCACCTTGTCTTTGGCTCAAGCAGGGTGGTCAGTCTTCAGTGGACCTCAGCGAGCACCCATAAGCAAAGCACTGGGTTTGTGTCGAAGCCCTGGGTCCAGCTGGGGCAGCAGGGTGGGGCTGATGAGGATAGGGGTGATGACAGGTGCTGTCCTCGGTGCCAGGCTGGCTCCAGGAGGCGGCGTCCATCTCCTCTTCACCTCTAGTCCTGACCTAAGGTAGCCACAGGCACGTTCTCCACCGCGGCATGTCCCCCATCAGGGAATGTTCCACCGGAGTCACCACAACCCCAGACAGGGCCAGGCTGAGGCTCCCTGTGACTTGGGCATCAGCAAGGATGGCACTCTCCACTGCCATCTCAGGCCCTGGCGCAGGACCACTGTGAGGGCTCCAGGGCTAGGCGTGGTGGGTGTGTGGACACCCAGGTATCCACGTTCCTCTCGGCAGCAGCCCATGGCCCCAGCCTGGCTCCCTGCGGCATTCCCATGAGAGTGCAGGGGCAGGGGGCCAGGGTGGGGAGCCAGGACCTCAGGTGGGCAGAGGACGGCTTCAGAACGTGGCTCTGTGGAGCTTCACAGCATTGGCCTCAGCCAGGGCTTGCACTGGAGGAAAGAGAAATGGGGTGAGAAGAGGGCTGCACAGAGGAGCGAGGACTCCAGCCAACCTCCCCTGGAGAAAGAAGCCTCATCCTGCAAAAACCTGGCAGAAACCATCCCGGTCCCTCAACCCCGAGAGGGGAACCAAGGAAAGGAAGTCATTGTTTTTTGCTACTTGACAGAGTGAGCGGCTGTGGGCTGGGGAAGGGAAGGGTTCACAGACTTTGGCTATAGTTGTCAATGTTATTTTAAATTACAGTAAGATCTGGGAGTGGAGAAACAGCTTTTGGGGGCTTCTGAAGGTTCTGCATCTGTGTATCTCAACAGATGGAAAGCTTGTCAGCAGACAGGAGGCACAGGGGTGGGGTGTCAGGGAAGAGCCTTCCCTGAGAGCAGACAGGTGAGGTCTCGGCTCCATTCCCTGTCTGCTTCTGGAGAAGCAAAGGCCATGGGCATCACAACATCCAAGAAGCAGCCCTACCAGCTGGCTTCAGCCCAGCACTGCGTGGGGAAGCTGGATGGATGGACGGACAGATGGCTGGCTGGATGGATGGATGGATGGACGGACAGACGGTTGGATGAATGGATGGATGGTGGGGAGGAGTGGCATAGGGCACTGGGGTAGGGGAGAAGCAATACCAAAATGAGAGGGCATAGATGGCTTAATGGGGTGGAGGAAGGGACCCCACTCCCCAGGTGGATGAAATACAGTTGAAAAGTGCTTACGTCAGAGCTCAGACCCGCATGGTATGGCTGCTGTCGGCGCCCCGTGGGGATTCAGACGACAGGGGGTTGGCTGGAGGAGTCGGGGAAGCAGGGGAGGTGGGAGGGCTTGGGGTGGCACATTGCACTGGAAACAGAAATGAACAGGGAGGTGAATGGGGGTGTGTGAGGGGGAGCAGGGTGGGCACCCAGAGCAAGCGAGCCCCTCCCCAGGCGGGGAGCGAGGCAGGGAGGCAAGCAGAGAGAAAGCACTGAGCTTGGATCTTGCTCAAGCTAGGTCAAGCTGTCCTCATGCCCAGGGCGCCATGGAGGAGAGTGTGAGGCCCCAGAGGAGAGCTGGCCGAATCTAGGCTCTGCTGAGAACCAGTGTGACTGTGAGTAAGGCCAGGCCCTCTCTGGGCCAAGAGCGCCCCTCCCATCCACACGATGGGGAGATTCACACACCTCTCCACTACTGTGCAGATAGAACCAGGGAGTGGCACTTTATACACAGTGGTGTCACTAATGATAATTATATTAATCATTATCATTGTGCAGTAAAATCACACTAAATTAGTGTGATTACTAAAATCACACTAAATTAGTGCAGTAAAAATCATACTACTCCAAACCATCGGGCCCCATTTAATGAACAGAGGTGAAGTGACCACCATGTTAACCAATGTCACAAAAACAGAGATTTCTGATAAACTTAAAGAGAGGTCTGTTAACTTGGCACAGTCACAGCTTGTAAACACGCTCCCTGCTAACACTGGAGACACCCTTTTTATCAGTCCAGTAAAGACAAACCTGGGTCCACTCCTGAGCAAATCGAGACAAGCCTGAAGTGACGTTTGAATTAATGAGATTTCACTCTATTATCATTATTATTCCATGTTAAGAACAGCAAAGTGGAAGGACGATGAGAAGGGGAGACTGATTACTGGGGACAAGCTCTATGCAGTCTCCAGACCCTCACTGTGCCGCGAGGCAGGAGGATGACAGAGACAACATCCTCACTCAGGCTCAGAAAGGAACCAGACCTCAGCCAGGGTCACACTGTGCTTCCACCAGAGAGGGGTCCCAACAGTGAACTTCCCACCCTCATCCCCACCCTACCCTGGACCTCATCACCTTCCCTACCCTCTGTGCAAGAGAAAGGGCCAAGGTGGCTCCTGTAATTACATATCTAACCCACCTACATGTGCGTAGAACACACGTAGCTCTCACGTGGATGTGAAGTTGTCTGCCTATACGCAAAAGCTTGTGCATGGTAACTGGCAACACCATACCATTACGTTCATCGCACACAGCTCAGATATGTGTATTTGTGTATTTCCAAGCCTGCGCCCTTCCATGTGAGCCAACATTTGTAACTTCATGTGCAAATACACCCACACTTTCAAACACACATTCGTGTGCATATGCACATCACCGATCCAAGGGTTAGTCATCCAGCAGTCTCAGCTTCTAAAACAGCCAGAAAAACAAAAAACGAAGCAAAAGATATCTCAGGGAAGCCAACACAGAGGCTACAGCCTCCATGGCATGCGGTGAAGCCCTCATAATTTACTCATAGGGACCCCTCATGAGTCCAGTTACCCTTATTTATACACAATTTTAATAGGTGTTGACTCGCTGGGTTTCTAGCCCAGGGGAGATTAGAAACAGGAAAATTCGAAGACACGGAGAAATTGGGAGGCCCACTGACATCTATAAGAAAGCACGACTGAGGAGAGAAAATGTTGGTAAAAAGCAGACCTAACAGCTTTAAAAGCGTGACAGTTGGAAAACATTTAGCATAGCTACAAACAGATCTATGTCCACTGTAGCCCTTACGGGTATTCCTTTAACAGAGGTCAGCAAAATAAAGATATTTATAATGATAATCATGAGCAAGAAAAGGTCCTATGAAAACAGAACTTTGTTAAGAAGGCAGAAAAATACTCCACATATATTATAAATAGATCCATCAAAACAGTTAAAATTCACATATGCTGCAGATGTGTATCACACAGATGTGATATTATAATGTGTGCACTCACAAGTACCATATGCGTGTAGCAGTCACACATACTCACAGTCACGACACTGTGCTTTCTCCCAGCCTGTGCACACGGACCTACGTTCACCATATTGTAATATATATACTGTACACAACATATGCACAAATACACTTTATCATTTCCCATACTGCAGAAAAGCCAATCACACATAAATACATGCATTCATAAACGCTACCTCCACTGATATATTGTACACTCACATACATGTACATTTATGCTCCAAGGGCTTACCAAATACCAGCTGGACTCACAAATAATGGGTCTCCACACAACATCCTTAGAAATTTTGCACAGATGCACACATTCCCACATTTGTACTCCAACGTTTCCTCCACTCCCCCACTGCACACTTGAATACACACAAATAAATGCTTGTATCTACAAACATCACCAGATCCAGACACTGCACATGACATTCACGCCACACGTACATACTCAAAAATGCCACGACTTCCCACATATTACATACCTGAGTCTGCACGCACTGGGTGAATTTGCAAGAATGACAGCATTCCTCACCGATTACTCTGCCCATACCACATGCCACACGTGGCACTGAACTCGACACGCTGTACCCGCTGCACACTGTGCTCATGACCTGTGCCCAGCACTGCCACACACACAGTGTCCAGGGTGTGAACCTGTGCCCTCCCTGTACGTGCCCAGGACCAGGCTTGCTGTGCCTGGCAGGGCTGTAGCTCTGAGGAGGTGGGCCACAGGCCAGGTGCAGTTGGAACAGTGGGCTAAGTCTGAGGTCTGGCCCTGCCACGGCCACTTTTTTAAATAGTTGAGGTTTTGGCAAAAGCAAGGTGACCATTTGGTTTCGGCACACAGACCCTGATAAGATGGAAATCAGATAGGCTGGGTAGGTTTTGTTTTCATGGAACCTTTGGCTAAGGAACTAGTAGGGAGGGCCAGGGGCTGGGGCTGGGGCAGAGCAAAGTTCTTAAACCAGCCTTGTCTCTCTAACCCCTTGAAAACAGGAAGTTTCCTTTTGCCCAGAGCATGTGGAATCTGATCTTCAGAAGGTTCAAGCTCATTTCGCAGCTAAACTACAGGGAGGCTCATCAGAGGCTTGCTTCCCTGTGGCCGAACTGGTTTTGCTGCCTTTTGGCTGCAGGATGGGGCTCTCTGAAGCTATCCCTTCTCTTCCCCTCAGCTCCAGCCTAAAGACAGCCTCTCCCTGAAATATCTCCACCCCTGCTAAAGTCCATGACACCTTAACTGGCAGAATGTTCTTCGTTACGGCTTACTTAAATCCTCTTTGCCGTAGCTAAAATCTTCTGGTTTCTGAAAACATCCATATTTAAAACAATTAGCAAAATGACAAATAGTTTCTATTTCTACTTCAGCTATTACTATTTCAACTACAGCTACCAGCATCACAGTGCTACTGCTACTGTCACCACTACTACAGCTTGCGAGCATGTATTGAGCACTTACTGCATGCCAGGCACTGTGCTAGGTGCTTGGCACACATTGTTTCCGATCCTCACGCCGCCAGAACTGGAGACAGGAATTTTGATTTGAATTTCACAGATGAGGAAATGGAACCTCAGAGTACCAGAATTTGAACGCTCCTTAATCACCAACATGAAACACCAGCCCGTCCACTTCGTTCCGAGCCACGCTTCTGACCTGTTCCTGGCCCAACTCCTGCCTGGGCTGCTGTACCTGAGGCCCGACACCTGCTCTCGCTCCTCTGCCAATGCTCTCTCCCACGATGGCTCCCCCTTCCGAGTCATTCCTCTTAACCGCGGCCTTCAAAGCTCTCACTCTCACTCTGCCTTTCTATCCTAAGCACCTTCATTTTGAGGAAGAGAACAGTTTCCCAGGCTCCTCAACTTATCCACTGTCTCTCCTCTCCCTTGAACCCTCCCATTCATATAGAATTTTTTTTTTTTTTTTTTTTCTTTTTGAGACAGAGTTTCGCTCTTGTTGCCCAGGATGGAGTGCAATGGCGCAATCTCAGCTCACCGCAACCTCCGCCTCCTGGGTTCAGGCAATTCTCCTGCCTCAGCCTCCTGAGTAGCTGGGATTACAGGCACGTGCCACCATGCCCAGCTAATTTTTTGTATTTTTAGTAGAGATGGGGTTTCACCATGTTGACCAGGACGGTCTCGATCTCTTGACCTCGTGATCCACCTGCCTCAGCCTCCCAAAGTGCTGGGATTACAGGCGTGAGCCACCGCACTCGGCGAGAATCTCTTTCATTCTTAAAAGATCAATGACATTTTCATCTATTCTGGGATGGTAGCTCAGGCTGAGTAGAAGCTGACCCTGTTGGTCTCAACCCTATCAGCCTGTAGCCAGGACCTGGTAGCCTTTGCATCAGTGTGAAGTCAGCTCCTCAGTTATCTTTTCTTAGCAGAAAGGTAGGTTTGGATCAATAGCCAAGGTGCTCATTGTATCACTCTCAACCCTTTGCCTCCACCATCTTTTTTTGATTCTTCCTATTTGCATGCAGCAAGAAAGGGAAATGAAAGGGCACTCTGGAATAGCTGGCCCTCTCCCTGCAACTGAGAAATATTTTTACCTTTCTCTGTCAAACTCAGTTATCATTTTTTCTCTGCGCCTTTCCCAGACCTGCCCAGGCAGAATGGCTCTCCGTGCTCTGCATGGCTTCCGGCCATGACTCCCTGGGGTGACTGTAAGGATCATCCTGGCTCTGAGCTCCTGGATGTCAGCAACTCTGGCCCCTTTGCACCTCCCTGAGCCTAGCACAGTACCTGGTGCTCAATAGATGCTCATCTCAACCTCCAGGAGCATCTCCTCAGCCTCATATCTCTCTGCTCCTGCCCCCCCTGCAGCAGTGCCACGCTTCCTCCCCTACACCTGGTCTGCTGGTTTCCCTGGCAGGGTGGAGCGAGGCCCAGCCCCTCTCACCAGACAGCATGCGGCCCCTGCGGGAGGCCTCGGTCGCCAGGGCGCAGGAGATTTCAATCCGCTTCTCCTGCTCCTGCAGCTGGCTCTCTGAGTCCTGGGGCAGGTCCACAGAGTCCCCCTCGCCGATGGGCACCACGTTCTGCATACTGAAGAGGCACAGACACACAGAAATGGAGGGAGGGACAGGATGGTCCAAGTGGCTCAGGGGGGCCTGCAGACTGAGGTTGGCAGGGAGGGCCAGGACCCCATGAATGTGCAGTCTCTGGTTCCCAGCAAGGCTGTTCCTAGGAGTGAGTGGAACCCTGGAAAAACACAGGTTGGGACCCCTACCCTCAATGTTCTCAAATGAATTAAAAGGTTCAAGTGAGCATTTAGGGCAGCCTTGAAGGGGAAAGAAGTCAGCAGAGGGCGAGCCTTCGGCTTTGTCTTGATGGTGTGATGTGCAGGAGCCAGCAGGTCTTACCAGCACCCGACGGCTGCATCCCTGCCTCTGCTGCTGGCTGGGCCCTGCTGCTGCCTGGAGCCACCACCTCGACGTGCTCTCCCCTGGGGAGGCTCTGTGCCCCCAGCGACTTCTAGTGGCCCAGGTGTCCTAGGTGCCAGGGTGGGCAGAGGAAGTAGAGGCTCTCCCAGACGGTTACCTGGATTTGGCAATGAGCGTCTTGATCCTCTCCACCTTCTTCTGCTTCTCCTTCAACTCCTCAGGGCTCAGGGGAGTGTCAGGCTCCAGGTCAATGTACCGCTCGGGGATGAGGACTTTGTCTGGAGTGGAGAGCTATGGAGGGGCTGGGGTCACCACCTATGTCCCCTTCCAGGGTCTCCCACTCCAGCCCTTCCTGGTTCCACTCACCTCCTTATTTATGTCCACATCATAGTGCTGGGGCTCTAGTTCCATTTTGCGAAGCCGGGCGATTTCCTCCCGGGGTGTCTCGTAGGTCCGCCCGCCAGGCTCCTCTGCCCGCAGGGCTGCCTCCAGGTTGGAGATGTCCACCTCAGTGGATGCTGCGGTGGCGGCGCACCTAGGGGACACCAGTGCCATGATGGCCCCACAGCTACGCAGGCCTCCCAGCAGCTCTAGCCATGCCCTGCCCTCCGCTCTCTTCCCAGCCCGCCTGATCCAGCTGCCACCCCACTGCTCCCACCGCACCCCACTGCACAACTATCCTCCTTCCTTTCTGCTGGCCCAAAGTCTGCCCGCCTGCTAGGCCCTAGAAGCGACATCTCATCGACATCTCTCGTCAGTGCTTGCCGTTCCCCATCCTGCCCTACCCTGTGTTCACATTCTGTGCTGTGTATTTTGGGCAGTTGAAGTCATGTGACTTGTTTTGATTTCTCCGTTTTATTTTTTACGAAAGAAGGTCTTGCTGTCACTCCTGCTGCACAGTGACAGGATCATAGCTCGCTGTAATCTCGAACTCCTGGCCTTGAGTCCTCCCATCCTAGCCTCTCCCCAAGTAGCTGGGACTGTAGGTGCACACCACCATGCCCAGCTAGTTTTTAAACATGTTTTTATAGAGACGGGGTCTTGCTTTGTTGTCAGATTAGTCTCAGACTCCTGGTCTCAAACGATCCTCCCACCTTGGCCTCCCAAAGTGCTAGGATTATAGGCATGAGCCAACCACATCCGGCTAACTTCTAATGATTTCACATTATGGAGGTTCTAATCCATCAACTAGAATGTAAGCTGTTGAGGACAGGACTTACAAGTCAATTTTTCCGTATTTCTAAAATTTAATAGAAAGAAAAGTGAAATGATGTCTTGGGCTACTCCCAGCTCTGTACTTAATAGCTGTGTAGCCCAGAAATCCTTTAATTTCTCTTTACTTTGTTTCCCCATCTGCAGAACAGGGATAACAATTCCTAACCCAATGCTGTTAAAAGGATTAAATAAAGTAACGTGAAAGGGATTTGTAGATGATATTGTGCCATGCAACGGTGAGCTACTATGATTATCTTCCTAGCAGCCAGCCCAATGCTAGGCACAGAGGAGATGCTCCAGAAACGTGTATAACTGATGACTATTTTTATTTTTAAAATATTTATTTATTTATTTGTTTGTTTGTTTGTTTGTTTGTTTATTGAGACCGAGTCTCGCTCTGTCGCCCAGGCTGGAGTGCAGTGGTGTGATCTCGGCTCACTGCAACCTCCTTCTCCTGGTTCAAACAATTCTCCCACCTCAGCCTCCCGAGTAGCTGGGATTACAGGGATGTGCCACCACACCCGGCTGATTTTTGTATTTCTGTAGAGATGGGGTTTCGCCATGTTGGCCTGCCTCAGCCTCCCAAAGTGCTGGGATTATAGGCATGAGCCACCGCACCTGGCCAGTGACAGCTATTTCCATGTGGTGAATTCTGTACTATTCTCTATTAAGTGAATTTTGTATAATTCATTTCAACAAAAATAATTAAGGCATTCCTTTTTGTGAGTTACTTTCTTTAAACAGGAAAAAGTCAACACTTGAAGGACTCTTCTGCCAGTGGAGGAGAGAACTCTCCGGCTCTCCCAGCTGCCCAGCTTGGGTTCTTTCCCCTCTCTTTCCTCTCAAACCCCCCAAGCCCAGGCTGGCCATGCCCTGGGAGTGGGCAGTGTTGGCAGATGCCAGGCTCACGCCTGTGGGTAGCTGGGAAGGCGTTACCACTTTGTAGGCTGGCCGGGGACTGGGCTCGGGGGCCGGGCTGGCCGGGAGCTGCAGGCTCCTCCGCTTCTCCTTCATGGAGCCGCTCTGGTGCCGCCGCATTCGGTCAATCTGCTCCTCCACGCTCATCTTGACCTTCCCTTCGCCAGGGAACACAGCACTCTTGGGGCGTTCCTGCTGCCATGGGAAAACAGAGGTCTAACAAGTGCCTTATTGCCCACCCAGCTTTTCCATCCTGAACCCTTAACATTTACCTTCTACAGGAAGTCTGCATGTAGTGGGCTGAACAGTGGTCCCCAAAAGATATGTCCAAGTATCAACCCCAGGTACCTGAGAGTGTAACCTTATTTAGAAATATGAGATCATTGCCAGGCGAGGTGGCTCACGCCTGTAATCCCAGCTCTTTGGGAAGCTGAGGTTGGTGGATCACGAGGTCGGGAGCTCAAGACCAGCCTGACCAACATGGTAAAACCCTGTCTCTACTAAAAGTACAAAATTTAGCTGGGCATGGTGGTGCACACCTATAGTCCCAGCTACCTGGGACACTGAGGCAAGAGAATCACTTGAACCCAGGAAGCAGAGGTTGCAGTGAGCAGAGATTGTGCCACTGCACTCCAGCCTGGGTGACAGAGTAAGACTCAGTATCAAAAAAAGAAAAAAAAGAAAAAAAGAAAAGAAATATGAGATCATCCTGAATTAGACTGGGCCCTAATCCAATAATGAGTGTCCTCATAAGAGACAAAAGAAAAGAAGATGACACACAGGGTAGAGGTGACATGAAGAGGGAGGCAGAAATTGGAGTGGTTCATTCACTCAGAAAGAAATGCCAAGGATTGCCAGCAATAACCAGAAGTTAGGAGAGAAGCCTGGAACAGATTCTCCCTTAGAGCCTCCAGAAGGAGCCAACCCTGACACCACCTGGATTTTGGACTTGTACATCCATAAGAGCACACACTTCTACTGTTTAAAGCCACCTTGTGTGTGGTTATTTGTTACAGGAGTCCTAGGAAACTAACACCGATTTTGGTATCGGGAAGGGAGGGTGCTGCTATAACACATACCTAAAAATGTGGCAGAGACTTTGGAATTCAGTAATGGGACATAATAGAAAAAGCCTAGTAGATTTCCTTGAAGACATGACTGGCAGAAATATGAACTTCGAAGATGATTCTGGTAAGGGCTCAGAGGACGTGAACAGCATAGAAAAGAAAGCTTCTATTGCCCTAGAGAATACAGTCATGCCTCTGTATTCCAGGGGACTGCTCCCAGGACCCTGCTGGATACCAAAATTCATGAATTGTTAAATCCCTGCTGTAAAATGGCATAGATGTGAGTATAACCCATACATATCCTCTTGTATACTTTAAATCACCTTTAGATTACTTATAATGCCTAACATAATGTAAATGCTATGTAAATAGTTGTTATCCTGTATTGTTGGCTTTTTTCTCCGCCCCCACCCCCACCCCGCCCCCAAGATGGGGTCTTGCTCTGTCATGCAGGCTGGATTGCAGTTGTGCAATCATAGCTCACCACAGCCTTGAACTCCTGGGTTCAAGCAATCTTCCTGCATCAGCTTTCCAAGTAGCTGGGACTGCAGACACATGCCAGTGTGCCTGGCTAATTTTTTAATTATTATTACTTGTAGAGATGAGGTCTTGCTTTGTTCCCAAGCTGGTCTGGAACTCTTAGCTTCAATCAATTCCATTAGCCACCATGCCTGGCCTGTATTGCTTTTTATTATTTTATTTTTACTGTTGTATTTTTAAATTGTTTTTTTCCCTGAATATTTTTGATCTGTAGTGGTTGAATCCACGAATGTGGAACCCACAGATAGGAAGAGCCCATTGCATATGAATCATAAATGGAATGCTGGTAGAAATATGAATGTTAAAGACGCTTCTGGTAAAGTCTCAGAAGGAAATTAGAAATGTGTTATTAGAAAGTGGAAGAAAGGTCATCTTTATAAAGTGGCAGAGGTTTGGATGAATTGTTTTCTACTGCTTAGTGGAAACAACTTGAAAGCTATGATGAACTTAGATATTTAGCTGAGGAGATTTCCAAGCAAAGTGTTGAAGGTGTGGCCTGGTTTCTCTTTGTACTTACAGGAAAATGACAGAGAAAATAAATTGAAGAAAGAGCTGTTAAGCCAAGAGAAACCAGCACTTTTTAATTTGGGAGGTTCTCAGCCTACCTACTTCACAAAGGATGCTTAAATTAGGAAACTCATTGTAGAAAAAGCATGCCCCAGAGAGAGGGTCAAGGGTGTGGCTGGACAACATTTTGCTAGAGAGATTAGGTGTGTGACTCATGGACCCAATTAACCATCCCAGAAGAAGCCAGAAATAGAGACGGAGTTATCTAGAATGGACACCCTTGAAATACAAAGGGGGCCTACAAAGTTTTTGAGGCTGTTACACATGCAGGAACACTGCTAGCTTGTACAGAAAAGGACAGAGATAAGATGAAATGGAAAATGAAAATAGCTGTGAGACTTCTGAGATTCTACAGGGAGGAAATAGGCTAATAGAGCTACTTAGCTACAAACACATGCTAACCTTCAAGGAAAAGCAAGAGTGACTAAAAGCAAAGCCATGGATGCAGAGGCAAGGGCCAGAGAGGCAGGCCTAGAGGCAGGGGCTGATGGAGCCTCTGTGGACCCAGTGGGCAGGGGAGTGAGCCACAGAGGATTCTTCTCAGGCTTTGAAACCTAATGGAATTTTCCCTGCTGGATTTGAAACTTGCTTGGAATGGTGACCCCTTTGTTCCTTCCAATTTCTCTTTGTTGGGACAGGAATGACTTACTTTTTTAAAAAAATTTTTTTTAAATTTATTTTAAAAATAGAAACAGGGTCTCACTATGTTACCCAGGTTGCACTCAAACTCCTGAGCCCAAGAGAGCCTCCTGCCTCAGCCTCCCAAAGTGCTGGGATTATAGGCATGAGCCACCGCACCTGGCCAGGAATGACTTACTTATGCCTGTCCTCTGCCAGTGTATTTTGAAAGCAGATTAGTCTATCTTTCTTTCCTTTCTTTCTTTCTTTCTCTTTCTTTCTTTTCTTTCCTTTTTTCTTTCTTTTTTTTATCTTTCTTTTTTCTTCTTTCCCTTTCTTTCTCTTTCTCTTTCTTTCCTCTCTTTTTTTTTTCTTTCTCTCTCTCTCTCTCTCTCTCTCTCTCTCTCTCTCTCTCTCTCTCTCTTTCTTTCTATTTTGTTTTTTGTTTTTGTCTTGTTCTGTCGTCCAGGCTAAAGTGCAGTGGCATGACCACAGCTCACTGCAGCCTCAACCTCCAAGGCTCAGATGATCTTCCAGCCTAAGCCTCCTGGAGGAGGCTGCAACTATAGACATGCACCACCACATCCAGCTACTTTTATTTAATTTTTATTTTTTTTTGAGATGGAGTCTCACTCTGTTACCCAGGCTGGAGTGCAGTGGCATGATCTCAGCTCCCTGCAACCTCCGCCTCCTGGGTCCAAGTGATTATCCTGCCTCAGCCTCCTGATAGGTGAGATTACAGGTGCATGCCACCATGCCCAGCTAATTCTTGTATTTTTAGTAGAGACATAGTTTCACCATGGTGGCCAGGCTGGTCTTGAACTCCTGACCTCAGATGATCCACCTGCCTCACCCTCCCAAAGTGCTGGGATTGTAGGTGTGAGCCACTACACCCAGCCCACCTGACTAAGTTTTTGGAGAGGCAGGGTCTCACTATGTTGCCCAGACTGATCTCAAACTCCTGGGCTCAAGTAATCCTCCTGCCTTGACGTCCCAAAGTGCTGAGACTACTGGTATGAACCACTGGACCCAGCCAATTAATTTGTTTTCTAGTTTTACAAATGGAGAGGAATTTTGTCCCAAAATGGATCATACCTAGAGTTTCATGCATACCAGATGGAGATGAGTTAGATGATGAGATTTGGGACATTTGAGCTGATGATACTTCAGTGACATATTAGACTTAGGATGTTGTCACGGGCTGAGGTTTTTGGGAATGCTGGTGTTAGGCAAATGTATTTTGCAAGCGAAATGGGCATGAAATTTGGGTGTCATAGAGTGGACTGAAGTTATTGAATAGTAGCCCCCAAAAGAGACGTTCAAGTCCTAGCCCCCAATACCTGTGACTGTAATCTTATCTGGAAATAGGTCTCTGCAGATGTAATTAAGAATCTCAAGATGAGACAATCCTGGATGAGGGTGGGCCCTAAATTCAATGATGAGTATTCTTATATGGGACAGGAAAGAAGACACACAGAAAAGGGGGTGATGTGAAGATGGAGGCAGAGATTTAGTTGATGCATCTGCAATCCAAGGAATGCCAAGAATTACCAGGAACCACCGTTAGCCAGGAGAAAGGCATGAAACATTATTTCTCAGTGTCTCCAAATGAACCAACCATGCTGGCACCTTGATTTGGACTTCCAGCCTCCACAGCTGTGACAGAATAAGCTTCTGTTGGCTCCTGGTTTGTGGTGATTGGTTAACTCCTGGCAGCCCTAGGAAATCCGCATTGCCTTGGGTCAGCACATTTGACTCTGAACACTGACTTTTGCTGCTTTCCCTCCTTTGTGTTTCAGCAACAGCACCTTACGACAATTTTATAAAATATTCTTTTTTTAATTTTTAATTTTTAATTTTTTGAAACAGAGTTTCGCCCTGTCACCCAGGCTGGAGTGCAGTGGTGTGATCTCGGCTCACTGCAACCTCTGCCTCCTGGGTTCAAGTGAATCTCCTGCCTCAGCCTCCTGAGTATCTGGGATTACAGGTGCCCATCACCATGCCCAACTAATTTTTTTGTATCTTTAGTAGAGATGGGTTTTCTCCATGTTGGCCAGGCTGGTCTTCAACTCCTGACCTCGTGATCTGCCTGCCTCGGCCTCCCGAAGTGCTGGGATTACAGGCATGAGCCATCAAGCCCGGCCTTCTTTTATATTTCATGCATATGTGATGGTTCATACTTGAGTCAATGTGACTGGGTTGAAGGATATAAAGTATTGATCCTGGGTGTGTCTGTGAGGATGTTAACAAAGGAGATTAGCATTTGAGTCAGTGGACTCGGGAAGGCAGATCCAATCTTAATCTGGTGGGCACAATCCAATCAGCTGCCAGTGAATATAAAGTAGGCAGAAAAACATGAAAAGGAGAGGCCGCCCAGCCTATATCTTTCTCCTGTGCTGG